TAGCAGGACTATAATTATGGAATACGAAGGTACATTGAACTATTGTATTTTGGGTTATTGCACACATAAAGAATAGTCAAAAACCTAATTTCCAAATGTGAGAACTTTTTATCGTGTTTATGGCTGTTGCAAACAAGTGCGATGTCTCTAAAGTGAGATATTGAAAATTTAAGGAATAAAGATAATGAAAGAGGAGACGAATGACAATGCTTATTATACATATCATTATTATATTTGTGTGTTTTCATATCCTTAGGATAATGTTTGGTTCATTACTTATTATATTGTGAGAGGAAAGTGAAACTCTTATGTTTGAAATGTTTACCGAAAAAGGTTAATGAATTTTGATATGTTTACTTTGATATATAATCAACGATAATTGCTCATTTGAATTTTTAATATTATGTGACATTATTTAGTACACAATTTAGATAATTATGTTAGAATTTATAGTATTTTTTCTGATAAATTTGTGTAATTATCATAAATATTTTGATAATTTGATATGTTAAATTTTTTGGCACCACCTAAATTTTTGGGCCAGCTCCGCCACTGGACATAACAGTTTTGAAAAGAAGTAAATAAAGTATGCATTAAAAAAGTAAACATAAACTAGCCTTTTGGCCTATAGGTTTGATGGGTGAAGTTGCATGCAGTGGTTGGAAGATTTATCTTTTGATAGTAACTTAATTTTAAAAATAAAATAAAATTGATCAATCATAAGTGTTTTAAATTCAGCTTAAAATCTTATTTCAATCATTAAATTTTAACTTACATATTCAAACAAGATTTTCAAAATAGGGAATTGATGCAATTCACAATTATCAACTCATGTACAGCCCAATTGATGAATATTGGTATTTTGATGTTGAGAATGTGATGAAGATGTTTGATATAGAGATAATCAAAATCCTAAACTAACGTGGTTATATATATATATATATATATATATGGAAAAAATATTTCTACAACCATTTTAGATAAGCTTATCTACAGCTACCCATTTATAACTATGTTCTCTTGGAAGAACATAGTTATAACATTAAAGTTACTTTTTTTTCTCTCTCCACGTCAGCGGACAGGTTCTGAAAAGTAAATGAGGAGAGAGAAAAAAAGTAACTTTAATGTTATAACTATGTTCTCCCGTGAGAACATAATTATAAAGGGTAGCTGTAAATAAGCTTATCTAAAGTGGTTGCAGAAATGTTTACCCCTATATATATGGGTTTAGTGTGTGCCATTCAAAAGGACATAAGTTCTGTCCTTTTAGTGATTTACACATAGTGCGATTGGTCGTACTCTATATAATTCTGAAAAGTTATTTTTTTTTCACTTTACACGTCAGCAATGTGACTGGAGAGAGAAAAAAAAGCAACTTTTCAGTTTTACACAAAGTCGTACTTTATGTAAAACACCTAAAATGACACAAGCTTGTGTCATTCAAAAGGATACTTTTTTTTCCCTATATATATATTCTAAACTAACCGTTCGTTATTATAGCCGAATATGGGGACACTTACAGAGTGAGAGGAATTGAGAGCTCTGGACGCGAGGGATATAACGATGGATGTGAGAGTAATGTGACAAAATATGAGAATAGTGCATCTACATAGTAATTCTTTGAGTGTGATAGTATCGTGCAGAGCGAACACAGATAATGGGAAAGGATTGACCGATAGATAAGGCAAGACAAATACCCACGTCAACGGGTTGGGGACAAGTCGATATCAAAATTTGGGACAACGACCAAATTGCCACTATTTATACAATTTATTATCAGAATGCCACGACCCTAAAAATTTTTACCAAAGTGCCATGTCATTAATCTCGCTGGACTGCATGGCATTTTACTGTTTGCCACGTGGCAGGACATCGTTGGCCACGTAACTAGCTGCACAGTGCAGCGAGTCTGCAACCCTATCATATCTGGATAACAGGTGGGTACCACCTATCTGGATAACACGTAATTGTTTCCATCCACCGTGGTTGCAATTAATAAGGTCCTTTTATATCCACTAGGATTAGCCTAGTGGTGTGGGGTGTGTGTGTTAGGTGTTTGTAGTGTAATGATGTGTGTTCAATTCCCATGTAATGCAAAAAAAATAAGGTCCCTTTATATTTTCCATACAGGTGGGTACCATCTATCTGGATAACAGGCTTACAATAATTGAAGGCATCAACACATTGTTTGAAAGTCCAAAAAACCCTTTCAAACACCTTATGAGATTGATCCAGTCGGTTGTCAATAAAATGATCGTTTAAATCCAACTTATAGACATCACCGGGAGAAAATCGCAACATATAATCCAACCATCTTGGCAAAAAGGCGTATGATTCATCCCAATCTCCATATATTTTGACAATTGCCTTTTACTTTGCCTTCCATGCTTTCCTATATGAAATATGAAATCCATGATTTGTTGCTATCCATTCTTGGATTAGTGATATTTTAACATTAGGTTCCTCTCTTATCATTTCTGCATGTCATAAAATAACAATTTATCATAATAAATCTTGTAAAATAATTATATAAAATGTAGACATTGACATACCAAGGATCATTGAACATATGAAGTTGGAGTCCAGTTGCTTTTGATCTTGAGAAAGGGTATGGTTTACACAGTTATGTTCGTTAACCCATAAGCCGATAATCCACTCAGTGCTGCCCTTTTTTACGTGTGCCTGTATCCTCCACGAACAACCGTCGTTGTGATTTGCACACACCATAATCAATCTTTTTGTATCGCTTTTCGCTACAATGGTTGTATGATACTCCGCCATGCAAAATTGTTTTATTGCCATCTGCACATCATGCTTGTTATCAAAAACCTGATCTTTATACAACTCTTGACCCATTTTCCAGTTAGGTACTTGCGCTCCGTCCATTGCCGGCAACTCCTGATCTGGGTGTGCCCAATTGATAGCCGTATAATGGCCTATTTGAGACCAAAAAGGAACATTGTTGTCTCCTGTATCAAGACACCACCGCAATAATCGGTGAACATTGTTTACACAAGTATACTATTCAATTACTTTTACTGAATTCTGGATACTAACTTGCCACTTGCGGGTCGTGCCCCCCCCACAATGCCTGGTGAAGGAATTGGATTACACATGGCATCGGATGGACATGAATCGGAATCACCCTCCACATCAGTGTCTGATGAGTCACTTTCGGAAATAACCCCTTCATCCGTACCCTCGTCTGAGCTATCTGTACAACACGTCGGATCATACTCATATTGGGTAGGATGCAATTCAAGTGACATTGGTACCGGTGGTGGGGGTGACATACATCTATCTTCATCAGGATTCATCAACGGCTCTCTATTCATGTCGATCGACTGAATTGAATGGTCAGAATGTTGACTGTTGCACTGTCCACCAGAGTCTATTTTCGTATACAACTCAATAAATGTGGAATCTGGATGTAGTCGAAATGCATCTACTACTAAGGCGATATCTTCATCTTCAACAATCTCGACCGGAACCTAACTTTCTTTACCCGATGCACATCGGGCAGTTAAGACAGAGATTGACCACGTTGTAATCTTAATTTCTTGTATATTGTCTTCTTCAATTCATTAAAGCTACATCGCGGGCTCATACGAAATACTTTTGTATCCCCTTCAAAAACCTGGCCATTAGAACCAAAAAATTTTCTCCCATTGTAATAGAGTAATGCAATTACTGAATCATTGTCATCACTCATTATGAACACTTTTGACTGAAAAAAACAGAACTGTTAATTAATTGAAGACAACAAAACAACACAATAAAATAAAAAAATTACAAAAATTAAATAACCCACACGGATGATGCCTCAAACGTAATTATATCAGAAGTTGGATGGGAACGGGGGGAGTGGGGGGTATATATAACACGAATACTGAGTTGGGTAAAAAAAAGTTCCACGTAGACTAGCTATGCAGCATAGCTAGTTTAACACGTGTCAGAAAAGTTCCACATAGACCAGCTATGCAGCACAACGTGTTATTAAAAGTTCCACGTAGACTAGCTATGCAGCATAGCTAGTTTAACACATGTCAGAAAAGTTCCACATAGACCAGCTATGCAGCACAGCGCGTTATTAAAAGTTCCACGTAGACTAGCTATGTTGCATAGCTAGTTTAATACGTGTCAGAAAAGTACACGTAGACTTGCTATGCACCATAGCGCCTTACAGACGTGTCAGCCAGGTGGCATCGGTTAGCAGCCACGTAGACTCGCTGCACTGCGCAGCTAGTTACGTGGCCAACAAAGTCCTGCCACGTGGCAAACTGTAAAATGCCACGCAGTCCAGCAAGATTGCTGACGTGGCACTTTGATAAAAAATTTCAACGTCGTGGCATTCTAGTAATAAATTGTATAAATAGTGATAATTTGATCGTTGTCCCTCAAAATTCGCCCATTTGATCCTCAGCCTAATTGAGATCCAACTCCGGAATAAGTATCCCAATACAATAACAATAAAACAAAACAAAGCTGTTGTTTTTTGTTTTTTATATTTTGTCACAACAAGTTTCTTATTTCAGTCGTCAAATCCTTTATTTCCAATACGAAAACTAATGACATTGCACTGGAATATGTTGATATTTACATATCCCTTTTATTTTATATTATTCCTACCTAGCTTATCAACTAGATGACAAAACAGAAAAACACATTCTCCCGGTAGATAGTGAACAATAACGGGATAGAATATTATATTTATTTATTTATTTATATTTTACTTATTTCTTTTCAATTCTGTTATATCACATTCTCATCTTACTTTTATTTTTTCTTTTTCTTTTTTAGATTGTAATCAAACGATATTGAGAAGAAACAAATATAATAGACATAACAAAATTGACATAATATTTTATCTCAATAATAATAATAATAGTAATAAGAAAAAATATTTATACTTTTTCTGTAAAAAATATTTATCTGTCACCCTAAGATATCTCATGTGAAAGATGAGTAATATTTTCCATAATAATAATAATATGCAAGAATCATCTTCCGTAATTAAAGCAACCGTCCACCCTAAGATCTAGACTAGTGACAAACTCTGACTCATTAGAGACCAGAAACAACACTGCGTCCGCCACGTGTTTGGGCGTGAGGACCACTCCTTGCAGCCTCGCATTTTGCGCATAAAACTCTTTCACCTTCTCCTCGCTCATCCCTTTCTTTTTACACGTCAATGGTGTTGCCAACCCGGTGGGTGAAACGCAGTTGACCCTTATCCCATGCACCGCAAGCTGCACACTCGCCGAACGCATCAGCCCCAACACCGCGTGCTTCGACATTGTATAGTCCGTCGACTTCACCCCGCCGTGGCTCCCAGCGACACTCGCCGTGCACACTATGCTTCCCCTCACGCTCCTCTCCACCATGGCACGCGCCGCGTGTTTCACGCACGCCGCCATTCCACGAACATTGACCGCGAATAAACGGTCAAATTGGGACATGTCGAGTTCAGTCACGGTCTGATCAGAGGGACTAAGGATACCAGCATTGCTGAACATGATGTCGAGTTTTCCATAAACATTAACCGTTGATTGAACGAGGTTTTGGACTTGATCTTCGTCTGCCACGTCACAGTGGACGTAGGTACACCTGTGGGTGCCTATGGATGCAACCACTTGATTGCCCAGCTCATCTTGGATGTCAGCGATCACCACCATACGCGCGCCTTGGTCGGCAAAGACACGCGCCGTCGCTTCGCCGATGCCACTGGCACCTCCGGTGACTATGGCTACTTTGTCTGTTAACCTGAGACCGCTGTTAGTGAGTATAGATTCTGCCATTTTTAGATGTAAAATGTTAGAATCGCGTTGGTAATCGGAAAGATTGGCCATTTAAATATAAGTAGGGACAGGCCATTCCTCACCTTCATTCATTACCTACCCCGCGTGCAACTTGCTTTTGTATTTTAGCCTTTGTTTATCTGAAATTGACCAACCACACAGTAAGGTAGCAGTTGTCACGAATAGTATAAAATAAAACCCATATATTATAGTATATTTCGTTTTAACACCTTTACCAAATATTACTTAAAATATTCAAATAATTGAAGGTTTACATATATTATAGTATATTTGTCATTGAAGCACTGGTTTTATATAACATGTGATCGTATCGTATCGATAAGTAGTTCAACTTACTCACGACATGCGAGATAAATAACCCAAAGCACGCTAATATTCATCATGGTCATTCATCATGCGAGATAAATGGCGTGATCCATCAAACTTTATTCACTTCATTCCATAACAAATAGGGATATCTATGTATCTATCATCCAACACGAAGAAAAATTGGTTTTCTGCACAAACAATAAAGATGTGGAATCTGTAATTTTTGTTTCTCTTTACTCATTTCACTTTCTCTTTCTTATTTTTCTATCTCTGTAGGATTAAATAGTATTTTTCATGTAACATAATAGTTGTATAACACAACAAAATAATGCGAGATTTACCTTCACATATTTAATAACATGGAGGTTCCACCGGAGGCCCACTTTCGCTAGACTTGTTTCCTCACATGGAGAAGTTTGTTTTTGCATATTTAATAATTTGTTTTTACTTGAATTACTTTCATCTCTTTTTGTGAAAGACTTAATTGACCAATAAATTGTGTGTAAAGTTATCTTGCACTAATCTTGACACGAGACACGATATACCCAATATTTCGATACTTTAATTTTAAAAAATGTTAGATTTCGACATGTTAAGACACATATTGATATTTAATAATATTTTAAATTTATGTAATATATATTATATTTAATATTAATAATTTAACAAAAAAATAAAGTTAAATTTATAATACACATCATTTTTGCAAAGAAACATAAGATATTCTTATTATCAAAAAAAAAAAACATAAGATATTTCAAATATTTATATTAAACTCAATAAAATACTAATCATAATCCAACAAATCTGATAGTTGGAACTAAAAACGCAACGCAACTCAAACTTTGAACTCCTTTTTTGAGTCTCTGCAATGCATGTTAGAGTGTCGGAGTGTCGAAAAATGTTGGACACAACACTAAATTTTTTGAAGTGTCGATGCATTCTATTCAAAAAGCAATATCGAGACATTGACCATTGTGCCCTTTTGTAAATAAAAAATGCCTAAATAGCATGTAAATAAATTTTTTTATCAAAATATCATGTTGTAAAATTCGCTATAATTGCCCGCGAGTACAGTATGGCCATATGGCACATTAAAGGAGGTCACAAAACTCGCTACTAATAGTAACGAGTTAAGTGGTCAAATCTATGAGTCCCAATTCAACTTTTGAGTGATACATGAAGGAGAGAGACAAACTCATTGCATCTTAAGGGGTGTTTGTTTCAAGTTTTTGGAGAGGATTACCGGTAATCCTTCTTTGGTAAATGTAATTACCACGTTTGGTAGAAGGAATAAATTACGATTCCCGGATATCCAAGGATTACCGGTAATTTGATTTATAAAGAAAAGTCACTATTTAGATTACCAAAAATAATATGGTAATTCAGAATACCAATCAGAATACCAAGTAAAGGGAAAGCACAACAATAAATTTTGAGACAAAAATACCCCAATACACATAAAAATCTAGACCCAATCTATCAATTACAAAAGTAAAAATAATTTGGAGTTATTTTTGTAAAATAACCTCATATTCCAAGTCATATTTCATTCTAAACCAAATATGGAATCAGTAATTTTTAACCAATATTCCCGGTAATATTTTGGCGAACCAAACACCTCTTTCGTAAGATTCCAAGTAAACTTAATTTCTACTGTATTCTCATTAATCATGATTCCCGGTCACCAAAAAATTTCTCTCGTACCAAACACACTTAAGGCGAGTAAAGTCACAACAGTTAATTTTTGAGACATACTCTCTACATAGGCTGAAGAGTACAGCGCACACAACTTTTCACCAAGAATTCTTTGGCACTCTGTTGGAATAGAAAATTCTATATGTTGTTACAATAGGACTCAGTTATACATATCCTAACAAACTACAGGTTACAACATATCACAGCAATAGGACTCAGTTATACATATCCTAACAAACTACAGGTTACAACATATCACAGCAAATCATAACAACATATAGAATCTTCTATTCCAACACACTCAAGGGAAATCACTACTTTCCTCGTTCAAAACTATAGTCTTTGGCACGCAATGCAACTTTTCTCTTTTTTAAAATATCATTTTAGTCTTGGAACCAATAATAATTTTATACAAAGAGAACCAAAAGAGAAAAAAAATATCTGTTGAGATTAATTTAAGAAGAGACAGACAGCAAGTATAGGCCAACAATTTTGGACACTTCAACTTCTAAAAATTCCTTTTACGAAGTGTAAATTTTTATTTTTGAAAATCATTTGGAATATCAATATTTTTTAATGTTAATTTTTATATCAAATTAGAAGATATTGTTTATTGTGATAACTAATGCTATCATTTGATAATAAAAAATTATTATTTGAAAACTAATTTGTTATCACCTATTTTTCCGAAGATTAATGTATTGAAAATATTTCAAAATTCAAATTGAACACTTGCCTTTTTTTCAAAAGTTTTATATAAATCATATTTAACTTCTTCTTTTTTTTAAAAAATAATGTTTAGTCTCCATCAAATAAATTTTTTATTCCACGTGCTTCAAATCTCCGTCATTTTACGGTCAACTAAGAAGAATTCAGAATTAAAACATGACACGAGGGGAAAAACATACCCAAAAATCATTAGCAAGCCAAAAATGTTGGGCCTATACTTGTTTGCTGTCTCTTCTCAAATTAATCTCAAAAAATATTTTTTTTTCTCTTTTACTTCTCTTTGTGCAAAATTATTATTAGTTTCAAGACTTAAATGACATTGTAGAAATGAGTGAAGATCCATTGCGTGCCGAAGACTAGTTTTGAACGAGGAAAGTAGAGATTTTTCTTAGTTTTACGAGCTAAATAATTATTGGTGAAAAGTTACGTGCATTGTACTCACTAGCCTATGTAGCGAGTATGTCTCAAAAATTAACTGTTGAAACTTCACTTGTTGCAATGTGCAGCGAGTTTGTCTTTCTTCTCCACATGTCATGGAAAAGCTGAATTGGAACAGATAGATTTGACTACTTAATCAGTGGCGGACTTAAAAATTTCCATTACGGGGGAAGAATGACGGAATAGTGAATATAAGTCTAATTACTTTATCAATAAGAAAATACATAATGAATTTTCCAATTCTTGCTAGTGCTTCATATAATTCCAGTTTTTTCTATATCAGTTACTAATACCACTTACTACACATATTTTTTCCTTTAAGCTGCCCTTCCAAAATTAAGGTGATCCTGACTCGTAATTATACACATTAATGCGCTTGCGTAATCAATGTTAAATGAATGTACTTAAAACGCCCCCAATTTTAACTTTAATTAGATAAGCAAACACTTCCAACTTCCTCAACTCAAAAAAAAAAAAAAAAAAAAAATCCCATCACCAAAATTGGGATAAATTCTTAGTGCTTGAGTGGTACATAATTCATCCACTCAAATTGAGAAACCTTGTATTAAAAGGACTAGTTCATTACACATTTATTCATTAATATTTAGGTATAAGTGGAGGTTTATGCCTGTTGGAACTGAACTTAATATTGCGCATAACTCAGAGCAAGACGCTTGACATACTAATCCTGATATATTCCAATATCACTGCACATACATCTACAATCTTTGCACACGCTTGGACAATAAACAAGCTTATAACTATCCTCGTACTTCTTAATCTAAAACTAATTGCTAATGGTTTGCCAACCCGGTTGCCCAAAACACCACCAGTGGTTATAAACCACTGCCCCATTGAATAATCATAGTCATCAAGCTTCCACACTGTGGACAGAGGATAACTTGTTTCGGTAGATACCTGGCGACATCTCGCCACAAGTGGACTTATATGAATGACATAACTCACATCTCGCATGAGTATACATCTTGCTACTCATACTTCCAGTATAAGCAGCAAGCTAGAGGCCTTCTAATTTGAATCTGATATATGTGAGATGAAGGCCCAATCTAATAAAGGTCCAGAAGGCCCAAGAGCCATAGACTTAACTTTGAAGGAATCAAATCCATCTCGCGTATGAACCGTGGGCATCTCGTCAACCTAGCTTATAGCCACTATGACTTAGTATGCAAGTAAACATCATTGTCGAGATCAATAGCTCAGGGAAACTTGACTTCTATAAGAACCCAATGATTGAACGACAACACCAGCTTGTCGCCGTATCTACTAGGGCTAGCCTAATCATAAGCTTCTCGCCCCAAGACCAATGGGAATTGACACCGTCATTGAAAGGCGAAATGAAGCAAGACAATCTTTCACTATAAATATAGAGACATCTAGCCAGGTAAGATCATCTATCCTTGAATACTTGAACTATGTTGAATACTATACTGAATTGAGCGTCGGAGTGCCTCGCAGGAACCTTCCAATCTTCTCAAATTGCTCAGACACCAGGCGTTCCAGATCAATCATCTCGCCCAGTAGCCTATCATATCGGCAAGCTTACTCTTCATCAACCCTTCTCTTTATCAACATTTTTTACCTTCAACCGTGTGTGATAAGACTCAACTCAATATTTGTTGGACTTATCAGTGTATATATTTTAATTAATGATAAAACATAAGAAAATAAGGTGCTAGAATTCAGATAACAAAATCTTTCACAGTGGAATACTGGAAAAAAAAATAGCTAAGTAATTTCTTTTATTAAATTATAAATAAAAATAATGGATAAACTCAAACAAAAGGAAAACG